CCAACTATACCCTTCTGTTTTCAGAAAAGATGCAAGTCCATGAAGCTGGAATAACAAATAGGGCATCATCTTTCTTTTTTAAGATCATGAGTGGAGTTGTGTGGGGGGGGGGGGGGGGGGGGGGTTAGGCTAGTTAGAGGGGGGGGGGGGGGGGGGAGATGGAGTTATGTAAGTGGGGCTAATCCCCTCCCCACCCTGCATAGTAAATGAGTCAGGATGACAGTGGCCTCATTTCATCTGTTCATCCCTGCATCTGCTGCTGCTCGCCCTCCAAACCGCTCTGTCTCCACCTTACTCTTCCTGTTTGATCTTTGACAGCAGACTCGCACTACCGTTCATTTCTATGCACCGCTAATTCCTGGTGCAGGGGGGCCATGAGCACCAGCCAAAGACACCTTAGACCAACTTTTATATAATTCATGCTTTAATTGTAAAGTTGATCCTAGAAAAACCCTCTTCCTCCTACTTCACTGTCACATTAGAGTCGGATTTTCTAAAGCACCGTTGTGTAACATCGGCTGAGATGGCCGACATGGGAAACAAAGTCATGTTTACTATTATGTCTGTTTAAAAAATGACTTAAAACATGTTTTATACTGTTATAGGTGCTACACTAATAAAGCTGCCTTGCCTTAAAATTAATGTTTTATCACATTGCAAAAATTAAGCAGAGAATGGGCTTCTTATTGTTTTAATAATAATAATAATAATAATAATAATAATAATAATAATAATAATAATGTGTCTGGAGGTAAATTACATTTTCTGAAGGGCTCAGCAGCCCCTAATAGGCAGTTTTGCTTGCTTTTAGCACCCCCTAGTGTCCGTTATAAATTCACTGTGGTCATACCGAAAATGAAACTTATCCCCTTGCTATAAGCTAATCTTTTTAACACCTTATCTAACTTCTGAAATGTCTTCTCAGCTTTCATTAGCTTCTAGAGGAGTGGCTAATCACTTAATCAAACAAATCAGCTTTGTTCACCATCTAAAACATGCACGAAACGTGCTGGAAGCAGACTCCAGCTCCACTCTATCCCACAGCTCCCCATACCTGAGTTATATTTCATTAACTCTGTAAAGGGTCATTTTAGCACATACTGGCTCAAATAATCTATTTAAAAAATGAATAGGTTGCATAGTATCCCTTTAAAGAAAATACTTTAAATATTCTAGTCGTGCACACTGATTATCACTGTATCACCTGAGTTAGAGTCCTACACTGAACAGCTCTAGGTTATTCCAGAAACCAGGAGTTAGACCTCTGAACAAGCACAACAAAAAGCCTGGAAAATTGACTCCCCAAGGAAACTGTAAAAATGAAAAGGTTATTTTACACTGCTGGAGCAGAGTTCCTCCTAAAAGCTCATGAAGACCACAGTAACATAAAAAAAACAAAGTAACACTGGGAGAAAAGTGCTTTAAATGATTTTAAAGATGATCTTGATACAAGAAACTTAACCGAGTTCTACATTCAGGCTCAACATGAAATTAGTCTTCTGCTCCTATTTCCTGAATTAGCCAACAATAGAAAATAAAAGAAGAAACACTCGGGTCAGAAAAGTCACTCAGATCTACATTGAGCTGGATATTAGTAGGGATGTTCCGATCACATTTTCTGCTCCCTATCCGATTCTGAGTCAGTTGATTTTGAGTGTCTGCAGATACCGAGTCCCGATCCAATACTTTTCATAGAAACGTTAAAACATGAAGAAAAAATAAATCATTTTTAGTAAAGCATTAAAATAAGAAAAAAAAGGGAGGGAAACATCAAGAAAGCATTAAAGGGGCATTATGGAAGTTTGACAGCCAAAACATGAATAGAAATAATAAATTTCTTCTTCATATATTCTCCTGCAATGCCCTGGTCCTGTAGAATGAGCCCTGGCATTTTTACTGTGATTGCCTGTTTTTCTGTAAAATCGCAGAAAAAGAGAGATGCTCGGGTCGAGCAGGCTGCTTCATGTGCGTTCACGCTCAGGCATAGCCCTCCGAACCGTTCTTAAGTGGTACAGATACAAGTGACGTCACTGGCGCGTTATCTCGCCTAGTTAGACGTCGGACTTTCGTGCAGAAGACCCGGGTTCGATTCTGGGTGTGAACCTAGTTTATTTAGAGTTTCTTTTTTACATTAATGGCATATTTTTTTACAATAAGATGCCCAAATTTTTATTTGAGACTCGCCGAACGGCATTGAATTCACAGATAAAAAAGATGTGGGTTCACATTTTGGAACAACTTTTCAAGAGCATGCTGGAGGACTGACCCATCTTAAACCTTTGTCGGCTGTGCTGAAGAGAGGTACAGAACCAAATTATTTAATTAATTAGCTGCACGTTCTCCTGTCCTCTGGGCCACACACACACACACACACACACACACACACACACACACACACACACACACACACACACACACACACACACACACACACACACACACACACACACACACACACACACAGAGCTGACTGTCTCAGCTATTATTTTCGTTAAGGTGTGTGCACGTACAGCATGCGCGCCTCGTGCACGAGCCTACTATTGAAGCTGCCGTTACGCTTTTGGCCTGAGGGGGCAATCGCGAGCATAAAAATTCAAAACTCCGTAAAGTCCCTTTAAAATAAGAAGAAAACACATCCAAATCGTCTGATTAAAACATTGTTTTAAGGCCAGGAATCGAAAATAAATGAACAATTTAATCAAAAATCTGAAAAAAAATTATCGCAATTATTTATTATTTTTTCCAGAAAAACGCAAGCAATAAACATGCAAAAATATACAAGAGAGGTTCCTTTTATTTAGAAAGTGCATAACTTGTTGAAGTGTGTAAAATCACTGACTACTGTCATTAACAGAGAAAACCTAAAATCAAATCCAGTTTCTGTTCAAAAACATTGTTTGAAAAAGCCTATTGTGTAAACAATGAACAGAAAATAAATCTAGCACAGTTAGCTTATGTTATTCAGTGTAAATGTCATTTTCCACAGCGTCAGTTGAACTAGGATCACCAACTCCCCCAAAAATAAATAAGGGACACCTCGCCGGCATGGCCCCCAAATGCTATGATACGGCCCTGGGTGGGACGGAGTTTTAAAGGTGATCTAAATCAATCAATTAATACATTAATTAATTGATTAATTAATCAATTTCCCTGTGGGATTTATAAGGCATTTTTTAATTGAATTGAATTGTATGGAACACATGAATATTATGAGCTTATAAATAATATTTATTTTATGTTAAAACATGTAGTGGAATAAATCTACCTACATTTATTATTATTATCCTGTCCTGTCTGTCTCTGATCCTGCATCTGCCACAGGGAGACGCGGGATAGTTCTCCAGAAAAAATGCTTTCTTGCCGTGGCCGTAGAGCACAGGTGATATATATTTTGGTGGCGCCGCTTTGAGAATGTTACTGTGGCAGTGCGCAAGACGCAGATGCCGATGGAGCTCATGAGCGCTCCGCCTCTGTTAATCTTCTCCGCTCAAAAGAATCCTCGATGCTGAGAGTCCATAATATGGGTAGAAACTTGATCTTTCATCTGGCTCAGTAAATGATGGCTTAGCAATATTGTCGAGGGGGAAATATGGAGACATTTTGGAGAGTGGTGGTGTCGGTACAGGATCTGCTCGGGTGCAAAATCGGCTCGGGGTCCTTCGACTGCCGATGACGTCAAAGTACGGCAAACCCACTCGGACAAAATACACTACACATCTATACTGTTGGAAAGAATATGGCAGTTTCGTTATTAAAATAATGTTTCTTAAGACGTAAGTTTGTGTTTATAATGGTATTTGTAAAATAAAACACTATATTTTATTCATAATGTTGAACTCCTCTTTGAGCACATCCCTTGAAGGATCATAGGTATTAACAACACCTGTGGAATTGAATTTGCAGGAAAGAAGTGTGTCCCGTTTATTGAAGTATTTTGTGTTTAGAGTTTTTGACGTCTTGTCCATGCGTAGTTCAGTTACGCTAATAGCTGCTAGCCAAAACTCTGGAGTTAAAAGTTTTCTGGCTTTACTAAAATACCTGTCTGTACTGATGGTAGTTTTACTTTCTATTAGACTCAAAATGTAATCATTTGGCACGTTTCTAATTCATAATTTGTAAGAATGTAATCGGTGATATTAGCATTAGCATTCCTATGGGTTTTTCCACGTATATTAGCCCATTAGCATTGCGCTAACCACTCGCTGCCAAATTGCAGCCTTTGCGATTAGAAAATCTCCTTTTGTCACATCGCAATTTAATTGCACATGCAGTTAATCGTTCAGCCCTAATATGCATGCAGCTCTATGCTAAAAGTGTATTTTCAAAGAGGTAATGATGGATTTCTTTGTAAAAGTTGTCCATCTTTCCAACAGAAAGATTTGCCTGGACCAACGTAACGTGATTACGTAATTCCGTAAAGTTCATGTTCAGCCAATCAACTACTTAGACGTCATCGGCAGTCGACGGACCCTGAGCCAATTTTGCACCCGAGCAGATCTTGTACCGACAGTGGCTCTGGGTTGGAGAGATGGTCAAATTAATTGCATCATTTACTTTTAACACACTAAAATAACAAAAATAATGCTAACACACAAATTTTCACGGCCCTACATTGTTTAAAAGTAGCAGCATTGCTATTATTTTGAGTTGTTTACTCCTTCAACATGCAGCTGTATTGAGCTATGTGTGTTCACGCGATGGAGCAGGCGGGCGGAGCCTTCAGCATTCTGATTCCAATCCTTTCAAAATCACTTGATTGGGCCCGATTTCCGATCACGTGATCAGATCGGAGCATCCCTAGAAATTAGCATTGATGGACTCATCCATCCTGGCTGGACAGTTTAGCGTCCAGGAAACAGAGAGCATCTCGGCTGGTAGAAGCTAACTGTTAGCATTAGCAACTCCACAACACGGCAGAACTCTTTCAGGCTTGAGTTATTTGTGGAGATAAAACATCAACATTGCAAACCAAACATGTAGTAGAGTTGTGTTGCGGTTACCCAATCAGAGGAAAGATGTCCAAAAATCAGGAGCTCATGCTTCAAAGTTTGCCGTCTGAAGCTCAGACCGGATCTGGCAATCTTCTAGATCCTGAAACAGATGCACCAGGGCTTTTTGTACTAAGAGTACAACTTACAAGGCATTCATTCCCACTAGAGACCACTGCAATTGTATTGATTAAACAAGTGAACAACACTTTTAAACTTCCACTGACAAGGAAAGCGCTGCAGGAAATCCTCTTCAGGAAGAGAAATAAAGGCATGGAATAAACTTTGAACCAGTTAGAGAGTAACTTTGAAAGTAGGAGCAGTGCTGCCCCCTGTAGCTGAAAGTTTACTCCAACTTCCAATGCTGTGAAAATAGATTTAATAAAATAAAAAAGATTCTAAAATTTCTGTTATTCATCTTGTTAATATTAGAATCTTTTTCAAAGCACAAAACAATCCTGATGAACTCAAATAATGAATAATTGCTGAAACATTCATTCTGTTTGTAGATGTTTTTTAAGGATCCTCAACAAACCCTTAAACTGAGGCTAATATTTATATGTTTTAAAGCAATCTCTTGTGTTTTGATCTAAAAGTGAGCCTAAAGACAGTTTCTGGCACTAACTACAACCTTCAAACACCCCCCTCCACCTCCACAGCCCTCCTGTTCAGACAGGACGCTTCACTAAACTTTGACCTACTTCTGTCTACCACAGTCTGGGTCCTGTGTGGGTTGGGGAGGGACTGAGACCCCAAACATCGAGCAGGTCACGCTGATAAGCCGATTAATAATGTTAATAAAGTGAACAAATATCAAAGGTTTACTTGAACCATGCTTTTTTTATTATTTCATATCTGAAGGAAGCAGAAGGAGACGAGTGAAAGGGTTTCATTAAATATTCAGCTGGCCTAACACACAAACACACACACACACACACACACACACACACACACACACACACACACACACACTGTACAACTTGTGCTGACAGCTCGATTTTACTTTCTTGCTGATCCACTGCAAGACAAACCTTGTTTTCCTTCTGTCTATCCATAATGTGTCTCTCGTTTCCAAGAAATCCCATTTAGCAGATGGACACAATCCTCCAGAACCAATTCTCAGCAGGATAATGAACAGCTGACAAAGATGCTGGTGACACAAAGGCACGAAACACCTTCAGGATTCGATCTGGTGAGGGCGAGTCAAACTGAGCTGGCTCATACTAGCGGCTTCGCTCCGTTAAATTTTGAAGTTAGAAATCTGACAAATGCTTCATGAGAGCAGCACGGATTCAACAGAGGGAAGAGGCTAGGGTTGGCTCTGACCGGAGAGTGGTGGGAGTTTGGTTACCGCTGTCTTGGACCGTATCCCAGTGGTTCCTGGGAACATCAGGCCCCAATATGAGACAGGAAACTCGAGTCGTGGAAGATAAGGAGTGGACATCTGCCACTAATTACAGAGGAGGGAGGTTGACCTCATGGTGACACGGAGGAGCTACAGTCAGGAGAGATGCTCCATGGTTCTAATATAACCCCCACACCCCATCATACGCCTTTCTTTTATTCTAACGATGATAGTTTACCCAAGCCAGTCAGCTGATGCAGGGTGAGGAGGGGTGCTACATGGTACGCATCCCGCAGGGTGGGTGGGGGATCATCTGGCAGATGCATCCTCCAAACCGGTTTCACTTCACCGATTACAAAAAAAGAAAAGAGAAACATACGCTGAAGTGGTGCAGGAGCTCTAATCAATCAAATACAAGCCCCTCTACGCCGTGGCTGTCCCAGTGTGACACGCTGCTAAAAACTCTGATTCCATCTGACGGGCGCGGGATACATAACGAAAATCTCATCTGAGTGTCCTCAGAGGCTCCTGATGAAACTGCAGCTAAGACGCACCAGTTGCAGCTGATGAGCTTTTACATCGGATCAATAATTCATGCGTTGTTTCCCCTCGCTGGCATAAATCACGTTTTCAATAAAAGAAAAAAGTTCACCGCTTAATCAGGACTCTTTCTAGTTTAAAAAATATATTTTTAAAGATCAAGCTGCAACAAATGTCTTAAACTAAGCATGGCCTTTGTGCAGCTGCAGGTCGTCTCCTCTGGATTTATTCGTGTGACACGAAGCAACGAGCCTCAGTTCTGGACTTAATATTTGTGTCGTCCATCAGGCCTGAGTGAATCTGTGTGTGGGCTGCTGTGTCAGCACTGGCCACTTCGGTTCTCATACATCAACCTGCTGACAGAGGAGGTGACATTTCGTGACGTATGGAGCCCCTTTTCCTGCACTTTAGAGAGCGTCAGAGAGAAAGAGAGGAAAACTGCAGCCAGATGGATAAAAACAGTTGCGCAAAGAGTGACAATGGCACGTGTTGTTTCCACACAGAACAGGCAATGAGCTCAAAACAGCTATTCTGCAGGAAAGAAGTTATTCTTGCAGAATTGTTGTAATGAGTAAACACGTAAGTCTTTTGACTGGCCCACTAATGTATGTTTGGAGCACTTGGCAGTTCCTCAGTACTCCTGGTTCTTATGTGATCCGTGCCAAGGCACGGCCCTCTGATGTCCATTATAACCAGACATACTCCACTCTGCATTGATTCCTTCTTAAATTACGGGTCGGGATGGCTTTCAGTGCCCATCTCTGCCCGACATCAAAAACCATCGTATTGCAGCAGCAAATCAGCTGAACTTTAGTCCACTTGGCAAGGACTGAAAAAGAGATTAACAATAAGGAAATTCAGAGTATTTTAGGGCGGTGTTTGGGTGATAACGGGAGGAAATCAAAGGCTTAGACTGCCGCATACTTTATAATAGAACAGCCACTTTTGTTCTCGTGTGATGTTTGATAAACGCTGAGTTTCCGTTAAAGCAGATCTGGGAAATCTCTGGTAGGGGGGAGGTGATAGGAGAAATACGCTGGAGTCAGTCCTCTCAGATGCTGCATTTCCATACAAAATCGGCTCTTTCAGGGCTTTTTTAAGACGTCATTAAGACAAAAAGCCCCAAAAGGCACCCACTGAGATTGATAAAAATTAAGGATGAACATCAACATCAATATCGGTATCGGCAGATGTTAGTCATTTTTTGACATATCAGACTCAGTCTAATAAATAAACCCGATATAACAACCGATATTTTTCCATCTTGTTTCCATTTTTTTATCTGTTTCAGAGGATGAGGGGGGTGATGTGTATTTGTTTAGTCATGTGACAGTGATTGTAATCATCTTAGAACCATAAATGTGTGCGGTGTGTGTACATAATAAATTCAGCTTTAATAATTTTCATTCTATACAAAATCTGCTGATTGTAGAAGCATTAATGTCAGTATATCGGTATTTGCAAATATCGGTTATCAGCCATAACAGTGATATTAATATCTGATATCGGTCCAAAAATTTCATATCGGTGCATCACTAATAAAAATAACAGTTTTTCTCAGTCAACATAATTTAATCCACTCAGGGTATGAAGAGAGTGGTTGTGTGATGTAAAAAGCAGCATTCAATGATCGGGGAAACGTCAGTTTTTGAGGTGGCCACAAAGCAGCATAAATGACAGCATTGTGGGGGGTTTCAGCCACATTTTTTGTTGTTGGAAGTTTAGAAACGGCGATTTCAAAGCAGTGTCAACATTGCTTATTTTCATTTCCTTCCATTCAGCTTCACCAGCAACTCTTCCAATTTCACAGATGCAGTTTGGCATCTGCTGATGTCATTTCCTATGAAGTTGCAACCAATTAGCATGAGTTAAACAAGAGCACCACCCAGCAACTCTACCGGGCCTTTTCCAACCACACACCCATGTTCAGGCACTCGAATGGTTCCTGAGATGGCCCGGTGAAATAGAGACACACATACTGTGAATGTACGTCAAAATTACGCCGCTGTTCCAATAGTGGAAACAGGTTTTTAGTTTGTGCGCCAATTCTACTTGGTTAGATTAATAACTAGATCACAGTATTATCAAAACATACAATTGGTGACATTATTGCTCACTACTGCAATGAGATTTTACACATCCTGGCCAAAATAAAAGTCACCACCAAGAAAAAGGGCACACACTAATAATCCATTGGACCGCCTTTGGCTTTGATTACAGCACACATTCACTGTGGCGTTGTTTTGATAAGTTTCTGCAATGTCGCGAGATTTATTTCCATCCAGTGTTGCATTAATGTTTCACCAAGATCTTGCACTGATGATGGTAGAGTCTGACTGCTGCACAAAGCCTTCTCCAGCCCATCCTAAAGATTCTCAATGGGGTTAAAGTCTGGACTCTGTGGTGGTCAATCCATGTGTGAAAATGATGTCTCATACTCCCTGAACCACTCTTCCTCTATTTGAGTCTGATGAATCCTGGCATTGTCATCTTGGAATATGCCCGTGCCATCAGGGGAAAAAAATCCATTGATGGAATAACCGGGTCATTCATTATACCCAGGTAGTTAGCTGACGACATTCTTGGAGCACATCCTGATGCTGAACCAAGACCTGACCAACTGCAGCAACTCCAGATCATAGCACTGCCCCACAGGCTTGTGCAGTAGGCACTAGGCATGATAGGTGCATCACTTTCTCTGCCCTCTCTTCTTACCCATCACTCTGGAACAGGGTCCATCTGGACTCATCAGACCAGTTTTTAATAATGTGTTGGACAGTTCTTAACCCAGTTTTAGTCGTTTCTGCAAACTCCTTAGATGATTTCTCTGCTTGATGCATGTCAATAATCTGACCCTTCTCATGCAGACTAACATCTTTTCCATGACCACCAGATGTGCCTTTGGACATGGTTGAAGGAATTATCCAATTGAAGGCTCATAGGTATTTGCTTAGTTAAATCCAGGTGGCAACTTTTTTTAGCTGGGCAGTGTATGAAAGAAAACGTTCATTTTTTAAGAGCAGCACCTGAGTGTTCTATTGCTCTACTGCAGAAGGATTTGTTTGAGTGTGCTGTACTAGAGTTCTCAAGTCAGATGCTGGTGGAGTTGATGATCAGTGGGATGAGGTTGGAGTCATCTTGGATCAAGGTTGAGTCTCTAGAGTAACCCGAGCAGAGGCTTAATTAAAAGATGCTGAGTTTCAGCCGAGGAAGATGAA